GCGGACTGGCTCTAATTGAAACTGGGCGGGCATGCCAGAAGGCAATCGAAAAAGAGTTCTCAAGAGGGGAACTGTCACAGATTCAGACCGAGCGAACAAGTTGTTCGTAGGCGAGGGAAATAAATACATAAGTAAAAGAATGTCTCAATTTGTGTTATCTCTGGGTAAATTCATATGGGACACATGTCCGCTTGTCTCCGACTGATAAGAATCGTGTGTAATTTGATTTAATTTTAAATTTCGAGCAGAAGAAACTTATCTCCTTATCGTAGTAGTAGGGAATCCTCACTTGAGGCTCGGGAATTATGACAGTGTGAATATAGATTATTCTTGTTTACTTTACAGATAAGGAATTGATAATATAATAAATACAGTGCGTGTTTCGGTGGAATCTAATAAGTGACTGTTTTCATTTCTTTGGGGGAAGGGCGCAGAGTTTGAACTGTTCATTCTTTTATAGATCTTAGGACCAAATCGTTTATCAAATATTATACTTTTGTTGCCCAGTACCTAGTACCTTTTGTACCTAGTACCTTGAGTTCTCTTTGAACATTAAATTGTATCTTTGTCATTCCATAAATCTGAAACGGGTTCTCTGAAAGAGTTCGACATGAATGAAGTCATCAATAACTGTGTCAGCAAACCATTTCCATGACAGTTGGTGGTCTAAGCATTCTTTTGTAGACCATTTGACAGTTTGGTTTGCTTCGGTGGATTAAAAGCTCTTTACAAAATAACAAAAATTCCATTGGAACATTGCATTTTGATATGCCACGATATATTGGCGTAGGTCGTAGACCGTCCAGCTATGCGAATTGGTCAACAGGTGGAGGGAAAACCGGTTTAGTCTGCCTCCTAGGCAAGAGCTGTGCATGCTCTATCTCCCCTCCCCACTGAGGCGAAAAAACTGTCCAAAGCATAATTTGAATGGGCAACGAAACGGAAAAACTCTGGCTGCACTTTGCAGATCCATTGTAAAAACATGAGGATGGGCGCTGGTGGACGGATGGGAGCTGTGGCGAGATGTCTGAAACTCAAATTTCAAAAAGACCAGCGTAAACAATTCGAAGAAAAATTATAATAAAGGTCAGCTGGTGGTTTAGACGCCCACACCATTGGATTATCTGGCATCAAGAGATGGATGGCAGACCATACATACATCTGCATCTCTCCTCCATCTTCCATATGTTTGTAATAAAGTTTTGGCTATTTTTTCTGTTTGTTTCAAATGTCACAAATTGAAATGGTGGGCTTTATGATTTCATTATCTTGCGCTGGCTATTTGTTTTTGGCATTCCACATTCCAGCCGATAGCCGAATGCTACGACAGAGAGAAGCGAATAGTAAAAGAAAACGGAGAAGAGAGTGGACTCAGGTTTCTGGTCTCAGGTCTTACTGGGGTTTAAACTTGATCGTTGTTGTTGTTCTTTCTCCCTCTGTTTTTGAGCGATTATAATTCGTTAATTGCTTGGTGGAACTGTAGAACAGAGGCAGCCAGCCAGCGGCTTGGCGAGTCGATAATCTGCGGCAACTTTCTACCTAGGGAGTTGGCCATAAACAAGAAAAATGGTTCGATTTGGAGGCCCCAAAAACTGTGAGCTCACACGCAAGTGTGCCCCAACCCGTCACTCTTTCTCTCTCTCTCTCTCTCTCTCTCTAGTTCTGCCTTTCGCATGCGTAAGCCGTTTTTTTTTTTGTATTTAGCGATTAGGTCATGCAACAGCAGCTACCACGGACGAACAGAGAGAGAGAGAGAGAAAGAGAGACAAAGAGAGGAAAACGATAACAAAGGTTCCATTTTCCGGCTTCAAAATCAATTTTCGATTGTTGCAGTTTTCATGAATGGGAGTTTCTTTTGTTGTATGCCGAAGTTCAAACCGCTCCCCATCCTCGAAAACCTGGTCCAGTCCCAAGCAGCAATTGTTGTTTGCATTGGGACTCAACTTTAGAGCGTCTCCGACTATGGGATACTCTATATTCCAACTGGAAAATGCATGGAATGCAACAGGCGAGAGATATTCTGACGGCGGATCAGAATGAAATTCTTTTCTCTGGTGGATTAAATGTTGAAAATGTTGTTCTCGAATACAATATACCCTGCTCCTGAATGAGTGGCGGATATCAAAACCAGTCAAATGTTAAGTAGGTGTCGGTCGCATATTAAAACGCTCGCCTGACGGAGCTAGCGGACAAGTGGGAGCGGCGACGGAGACGGCGACTCGCATTACCTCACTCAGCTCCCCATTTTGGCAAAGAGAGTAGGTGGGAAGTAAACGCTGCTCCGCTCCGCTCCGCTCAGCCAACGCCGGAATGTTAATGAGAGCCGCGTTATTTAGTTTGTGTTTCTTCGAGTATGAGCATATTTTTAATAGTAACTATACTACACACTGGCACACAACACACACACCATCAAACAGGCACACACAATCGCCCTGGCTAGGCGGGGGCTTAGAGTAAAGGCTAAAAATATGTTTAACCTGTCGTATTTCCTGTGATTCGGCGGCATCCATGCTGGCGGTTATACGCTGCTGGTGCTGCTGTTGGATGCGGCGGCGACTGCAGCTGCTGCTGCTGCTGATACAGCAGATGAGGGGAGATGACGGTGCAACAACCCGAGTCTACGAAATTTTCTCTGCGCGGCGGGCAAAACGGATGACACTCCGGCTGGCTGTCCGACGCCCAGTCCCCGCTGCACTTGGCACTTCACTTTGCTCTCTCACACACTCTGCGACTCTCTCTCTCCACACGCTTTTCCTTTTGTTATTTTCTACACTTTCCTATTACGCTGTCGTCGTCGCTGCTGTGTTGTGTTTTTCTTTTGGTGGGACGACGCCTCTCTTTTGGAATTTTCACTTCAGCCTAGACAGCAAAAAAAAAACACAACGGAATAATTTGATTGGCATTTTAGCAACTGCATTTGAGATGAGGATTAATTGCGCACACGCATTGGCAGCAGCAAGAGGCAGGCAGCAAACGATTTATTTAAGCAGCCAAAGACGATGGAAAACTAGCAAAAGAAAAATGTGAATCATTCAGTGGGGCGCACTAGGCAGTGGGCGGCAGTGCGCGGGCCCAAGGGGGATTGCCTTGCTCCACTGTGCAGCAAATTGAAGAAGTGGGGCCATAACATACTGTAAGGCCTTACAGTCGACTGTTGTCGGAGTTGCGAGGGCTTAAGATGCTGCATCAGCTGTTGCAATTTCGTCGCATAGGCGACACCCAGACGCACTTTTCCGCACGCACGCAACGCGTTTCGATTAGTTAGTGTATAATTATGACGGTGGCTTGTGCAGTTTTTCGCAATTTGCATGTTTTCCTGCCTCTGCCGACAGTAATAAATGAAAACATTTTTCTTTTGCTTGCTGTTGTTGTTCGCCTTGCAGCTTGCCTCTCTTTCGTGCGCGATACGCTGCCAATACTGGTGCTGAGAACTGTTACTGTTATGTTATGCTCTTCGCTCTCATTGGAGGGCACGGCGTATGGGGCGAGTGATGACCGAAAAAGCTATGTATGTGTGTGTGGCCTACGCACATTTTTGCCTGATTCCGCACTGATTTATATTTTCTATGACACTTATATGCATTTCACACGATTCGCGCTCACTTTCACTGCATAAGTAACTATGTTTAATACTATAATTTAGATTTAAATTAATAAAATCGCGAACAGCTACCAGCTTCTTCTCTTACAAATTTTTTCTCTGACTGGTAGTGCTGGGCAATGACAGAGCATAACATTCTGTTGCGCGCACTATTTCCTCTGTTAAACATTTTCGATACACAATACAATCGACACTGATTGTGATAAAACACTTTCAAATCATATTTCCCCTGAACGCAGATTTTAATAGAATGTATTGCAAATTGAAGTCAACCACTTCAAGAACATTATTTTCATCTGCTGCACGCTGGAAAGCTGATGTGATCGGAATGTCCAAATATCAGCGAACAAGAAGGCCCACCAACGTCCCCATTTTACAAAGGCCTTAATGTTTTAAATGTTTAAAATTTGTATTGCAGGCCCTTCAGAATACCTCCTGCAGAGGATTGGCATACGTTTCCTCCACACTTCGTCAGAAACGGAATGTTTGCCGGCACCTCGTTTCTTGTACACCTTGCACGAAACAAAACCAACAAACTTTGCAGCACTGTTTTGTGCGTGACTGAATGTCGTGACATGCGTGCTTTGGTTGTATTTGTGTGGATATTATAATTTGGTTTAGGTTTTGTTTTGTTGTGAATCCAATATCTGAAATGCACGTCGAAAAGAAATCGGAGCTCCGGAGCCTCCTGAAGTCGGGCGACAAGCGGTGTAAATTGGTTGAGCCAAGAAACACAAAGAGCTGCGTCTGGAGATTTTTTAACTTAGTCTCTTGCGACGACAAAATAGAGCCTTACGCCTGCTGTAAAACCTGTGGAGATCTCCTGTCCTATAGCGGAAAGACTGGCACTGGAAGCTTACTCCGGCACAGGTGCTTGCACTCAAATAACGGTAAGTTCAGGATCTGATATATTCACGCACGTCCCCTCACTGCCACGCGTGCCCGTGCCCACCGTGTCCGTAATAGACGGGGCACGGATCATTACCATCGCGATAGAATCAGAGACCGCCTCTTCGCAGTACCGTAATCTGTGACCGATATGCACATCTCCGTTCCTAGCTAATAAAAGTGCTGCAAATAATAAAACAAACAATTTATTGGGGGGGTGGTGAAAAACATAGATACACACAGGAATGCATGTGCACATACACACATAAGTGAAACCAATTAGCCTGTGTAAATTCTGCCAGTTCCCTCTGTCAGGGTTGCCCATCAATAGAAAACGGAACATATTTGTGTTTAAATGTGAGCCATGATGCCATAATGTATATTCCGAAAATTAATATAATCGAGCGCATTTATATTTTTCTATTCAGTAAAATTGTTTTTATTTTGTATTGCCTTTTTTTGTTTTCTTTGTTTTTCCTCCCTTACACTGTTTACGGTTTGCAACACTAAAACGGGTGCAACACATTGGACAACACTGACGCCAGCAACGCTAATATAATCGGCATTTTCATTTGTAGAGAAAATTTTACTTTTTCACGAATTAATTCATAACTAGAAAGTAAAGATGCCAAAAGGACGTGTTAGCAATGTGTGGCAGCACTACGACATCAACGAGGATTGCGAAAACTTTGCGATATGCCGCTATTGCGGTAATAATATATCGCGTGGTGGCATGGCCAGCAATTTGAAGGGGAACAATACCACCAATTTGTGGACGCATCTGCGTCACAAGCACAGCGACGAGGTGATCGTAAATCCGGTGCAGAGCCGCCAAGGGCGAATTATTCCCATTATTAAAAAAGGTAAACAACTATCACCAACGGCTGAACACAGTTATCAGCAAGTGGCCATTTTGGGCGGGAGGTCGAACGCGCTATCGACTATTGGGCTCGATGTGACCGACTTGGGGTAAACTATCGAGGACTACCATCTCTTGGTGGCTATTGATGTTTTTCGACGAGTTTCAATGTATCGCATATCTTATTAACAAACACTCTATCGCATACATATAATTGCAGAGAAAACCGTGCGAATAACCAAGGCCAAGCAGCTGCGAGAGCCATTGCATGTAGCCAAGCCGAAGATTGAAAGACAGTCCACGTCGTATGTAGGCGAGGCTGGAGCACTCCCGCAGAAGTGGGAGGAGTATGAGCAAAACGATGAGATCAGCGAGGACATCAAGGACATTATCTACAGCGAAGATCCGCTTTGCTACAGCCCCATACATGTCATGGAGGAGGAGGTTGCCCTCGAGTCTGGCGCAAAGGTCACCGTGCTGAACCCCAGCGTCCAGACCCGCTCCACCATCAGCGCCGCACCAGTCGTGGCCACTGTTGTGGCCTCAAACACTAACACGGTCAACGCGGCCAAACAGCTGAAGAACAACCTGGAGACATCCATCGACCGCCTGACCACGGTCAGCGAGCAGTTGAGCTACATAATTCAGCAGAACCACGAGGAGCATAGCAAGGATGACGACTACTACTTCGCCCTGAGCCTAGTGCCCAGCATGCGCCAGATGTCGCTCAGCCGCAAGCTATATGTGCGCACCAAGATCCAGGAAGTTATCTTCAAGGCAAGCGAGGAATCCGGCTCCGCCAAGGATGAATGAATAGATGAAGTGCGGCTACGAGGAAAAGGAAAGAAAGCTAGCAAGCCACATAACACAAAGTTGAATGTGTTTGAATGGTTACTTGCTCGTTCGGCTTTTGGGTAGCTGATTTTAATCGTTTAGGCTAACTTTATGACTTTATGTATTCTGTATATCCACTTTCTTGAGATTGAGATCTTTTTCTTGAGATCAAGAGTGATTCTATTTTTTCAACTACTGTGTAAAAATTCGATTCACAATTAGAATAAATAACCAAATAAAGATCCGACAGAGAAAACAATAAGTGAGGGAGATAGAGAGAGGGAACAGCAGCAATTATCGCTTAAACTTCATTTTATGGATGTTGTTTATTTTAAATAAATTTTATTTAAATAACTTGTTAAGATTTACAAAACAGAGAGCGTTGCTAGATTAGAATTATAATTATTATTTGTATTTTATATTATAATTTACAAATCGATTTGCGGCCAAGTTCTGTCTATGCCTGTAATTCCTATAAATATGTATGTGCATATCCCTATCGGTATGGATGCGATTCCTCTCGCTCGCGTAGATCTAGACGTACAAGCGTACAATTACATTTTATAATACAATACAAATACAGATTGCAATAAAACTTCGACAAATCGAATAATAAACAATAAACTTATGCTGTACTCGTCTTGTGTATGCCATGTCTGTCTTCTGTATATACTCGTATGTATATTATGTATATTGTATATGTATGTATATGCACCCAGATACCTAGGCACAGGCTTAGATTCTAGTCAACAAATCGGTAGCTTATCAAGCACTCTGACTTGAATAGCAAAGTGTATACAGACATGTGGATCTTATGATGATTTGGTGTTACTCCGAATGTGGATACCTATTTATGATGATATGATACAAAAATGTATGGGTTGTGTGAAAAATGGCTAGAACTAAGTGCACGATATGTTTGCCTAAAGTTTGTTTGGTATGTATAAATTTCTTGCAATAATTATTATGCTAGATATGTATGCGGCAAAATGTTTTAGTTCTGGTTTTAGCATTTATTTATGTGTATGTGTATGTGTATATCTATTTAGGTATATAACATTTTGATTTCAGTTTTCTCTGGCTGAGTTTTGAGAGTAGTTCCCCATAAGTTCGTACATGTCTAGATATATGGCATATCCAAAAGGGTGTCGTATACAAGCATTTAGTTATGCCCAAAGGTTTATTCAAAAATGTTCATCTGTTTTTTGGTATATCTGAATTCGTATAATTTTCAATCATCATGGGTATGTGTATAAATTGGTATAATTTCCTCTATTCACAGTTCCGATCGGTATGATATACATATATATTCCATTTAGTTATTGTATTGTTTATGTACATAGAGTTTTCGCACCGATTTCATATGTATTTCCTTTACTCTGATATGCTATTACATATATGTATGTATGTGTAAGTATTTAGTAGGTATGTTTAGCTCTATTGCCTAGGCATATTCAAAAACAATCAATCAAAAACGGGAATCAATCGACAAAATATACAACTATATTGATAAAGTGTTTTTGAATTTTGGAACCATTTTGTTCGGTTTTCTTTCTGTTTATTGCACTTTCGAGCTTCCGATTTGGGAGGGGATTATTGGTTGGCCTGCCAATAGCCTCATTTAGTAGTAATATTATTTGGTTGAAGTTACCAGCTGACTGGTGCTGTACCCCTGGGTGTTGCAGGTGGGCAGGGCGAAGGGATTGAAGCTCAGGCTGCTGACTCCTGTAAATAAGTTCAAAAGATTTTGTATGGCCATTAGTTGGGATGTACCAAAAAATAAACAAAGCTAAAGGGAAATCGATTTCCATCTTCAGGCAAATAATAATATGAATCAAATTATAATACTTAGAGTTAGGATGTACATATAAATGGGTAACATTTGAGAGCTTTTCCTCCTATAAGTTGATCTTCCCTCTGAGTTGGATCTTTTTGGGAGATCTTAATCGTTTTGTAGGATAAATATTGGGATAATGAAAATTATAAATACCGTTAATCGTGTGTTTTCTGTGTTGTTTTTGTAGGTGGAAGTGTTTTTATTTTTTGTTCAGTGCTCAGCCAGAGCCACTTATTGTGGGGCGTCCTCGTCGATAGATGTGTTTTCTGTGTGGGTTGGTTGGGGGGCTGGTGTCTGTGTGGGTGGGCGTGTTTCAGCAGCATTTAATTTCAACAAAATGTCGTTTATCCGGCCCATTCCCAGTTCCCAGTTCCCAGTTCCAGACCTGCTGTTCCTTCTTCTCATCCTTCTCCTGCTTCTGGTGCGACTCCTCCATTGGCTCTTCGATGAGCTTCTGCCTGCTGCAGTTGCTTAAACGGCCGCCGCCGTGGCTGCTGACACGGCTGGATTGTGCCACGGCTGGTGGGGATGCGGATAGTGGTGCGGATGTGCGGCGGCCACATGATGATGCTGCACGAACGCCTGATGCCACGTCGACGACACGGCGGACACTGTTGAAATTAATGGCGGAAAATGCACTTTGCTGAGCATACTTTTGTTCACTTTGTTTTTGGGAGGGTGAGGGGGAGGGATAATTTGGGTGTCGGGCTGGGAGTTTCGAGTTCGAGTGGGTGGCATTCAAGTGAGAGTTATATGAACGAAAAAAATGTGTAATCAACTCAGGAAAATAGGTACTGGAGAAACTAAATCGATGGAAAGAACAATTCTTGGGACGCTGAAGGGAGCATCAAAAGCTAAGCCGAGATCTGTTCTATCGAAATATCTATGGAAACTTCTTCTGAAACATTTCTTTGTGTCTTCTCTTCTATTCTCTGGGTTTAAGCTCTTGGAGACCTGCTATCTTGATACCTTCCTTGAACCTTCTTTAATTCAAAACTCACTTCTTTTGCTCGCCAGATACATAACTTCCCTTCACCACTCAGCTGTTAGTTCTACGGGGGATCTACTTGCTCTACTTACTTGACGTGGAGTTGAAGACGCTGCCCGGCGAGGAGGAGAGCGTGCCCATGTTGGGTGTGGGCGCATAGCCGTTGGCCGTGGCTGCCACCGCTGCCGTGGTGGCCGACGTGCCGTAGGAGCCGCCCGAGCTGTGCGGTGTGGAGGCGCTGCTGCAGTAGCCGCCGCGTGGACTCACGCTGCTCGATTGGGCGCGCTGGTAGTCATCCTCGGTCCACTGGCCGCTGCCGTCTTGCACGCTGACAGCCAGCTGTCCGGCATAGGAGTTGAAGCCGGTGGAGCCGCCCGGAGATCTGCTGCGCGCAACGGAGTGCCAGAGTTGGAAAGAGTGAGAGACTGTGGGCGGCAGAGATGGAGTCGGGGTGGAGATGGTCTTACCTGGGCATGGAGTACAGAGCCTCGACCAGGTCGGCGGCCCGCTTCAGTATGATCTCCTTCTGCAGCTTCTCTGGGTCGCCGGGATGGCGTGGGATGAGCTTCTGCAGGCGCTGGAATCCGTAGTCGATTGTGGGTTCGTTGAGAGCTGCTTGGAGCGCGTCAAATGGATCGAAAGGTTAGGCATGGACTATGCGGAACGAGGGGGGATTCGACGGGCGACCACTTACAGACATAGACGAAGCGTCCGGGCGATCCCTTGCAGAACTGCTTGCTCTTGTAGGAGAGCGTCACCTCCACGACGCCGGGTATATGCCTGGGCGGGGTCTGGACGCGGATGGCGTGCGACGTGATCAGCTCACTCCACACGAGCATCGTGCCGAACACCACCTGGAGCCCATCGAAGAAGTTGTCGCCCACAATGATGACTGTGGCGCCGCCAGTGGTCCAGCCCTCGCTCGGGGAGATCGCCTTGATGCAGGGCGTGGCCACCGGCAGGGGCGGATAGAGACCTGCAATAATGTTCCAATAACATTTCCAACATGAGTCAAATGTACCCGAAAAGTAAGTTTTCTCTAGGATCTGCCTGCCAATTGCTACAAACAAAATTAAAACTTGGGTTGGGGAAGCTCTTGGGTTGAGGATTGGGAGGGCAGGGATTGCTGGAGCTACGTAAAACGAAAAAAGTGTTTTGGAATAATTGGAATTTTGCTACAGACCATCGTAGGTACTGTCGGGCGCTAGGGGGTGACCGGATATGGACAGGGATGTGTTGCCTGTACCTTCCGTGGTGTCCAGCCGCTTGGCCCTCCGTCCGTGCTTCGAGTTATTGTGCACAAACATGTTGTCGGAGATGGCCAGCAGGGGTCCGTCCACGGCCACCTGTGTGGAGATGACCACCTGCAGAGGGGGGAGACGGCAAATGTTACCGATTAGCACCGTTCATCAACGATTCTTGGTTAGGCATCGCCACTCACCTGGAATCTGCGCATGTCCCGCGGGTTGCCGGCATTTTTCAAGCAATTTTGATTGCACTTCAAGAAGAACTTGAGAAAGAAGCTGCAAGCAATTAAATAGGTTTTTCATTAGTCACTAAACTTTACACTGGCCAACAAAAAGTAGATTTGTAGATCGCTTATTGATCATTTCTTAACCCATTTCTCTCTCAGTGTACAAGCTCTATCGGCTTGGGTGTGCTGCCTTCAATTAAGTCTCTTTTACGACGACTTCGGATCCGGCTTTATGAGCTGCTAATCACGGGTTTCGCCTTTTTGCTGCCTGCCCTGCCACTGCCACTGCCACTTGCTGCTGCTGCTGCTTTTCCTGCCTTTTCTTACACTCGTTTTTGTTTTGTTTTCAAGCAGATGTTGGCCCTGCGGCTAGTTCGAGTGCGCCCCTGTGCCACTTGCCCCCTTGCTGCCTTGTTGCTGTTGTCCAATCGATGCCGTGCCCTGGGGCTGCGGATGCGATAAGTGGCTTGCAGTGCCCGACAGCCGGCGAGTGTCCTGCGGGCGGCTCTACGGTAGAAATTGACACCCGTGAGTGGTGCATTTAAATGGCAAAAATACTTTTATGCATCCGCCACAGCGGCGCGACATGATAGGGCACATCCCCTTGTTCCGCTCTCTCTCTCTCCCCCACTGATTTTATTTGCAGAAATAATATTTTCCTTCCTCGTCGTATCAGCGGGTGGCAGCTTTCATTTGTCGACAAATTGGACAAATTAGCAGGGAGGAGAAGTGTTAAGCAGAGGGCAAACATCTGCATATGTCCATGCTCAGTGGGAGCGTTCTACTATCCTCGGGATTACACTCTATAGATCGAAAGTTTCTTCAGGAAACGGCAAAGATATTCACTACTTTTTCTAAGGGGTACACATGTATACACCCAATAAAGCCAATAAAACATTAAAAACCATTCAGCAATCCATAATTCAGACACGAAATTCGATAAGAAATAAACGAATTTCAATTAAAAATGAAACTGATAAACAAAGAGCGAACGCAGAGCGCAGATTCAAGTGAATCAAACCAAGGCCAGGCACTCCATTCACTCAGGCACCCCCTACCACAATGAATCATTAGCGAATTAATACAAATTTCATTTCAGAATCACAAAGATATAAATGTTGTTTCTGTAGCTTAACAGATTAGGGAACAGATGTGGCGCTGAGGCACAGAATCGATGAGAATTGAGAGCACATCCATCCCATCCCATCCCATCCCCTGAGAGGCCGAGAGCCATGTATCTGTCAGATGCAATATCGAGTTACATGCAGCGTGGAAACGCTCACAGATGCAACTGCAGCGAGGAAAACTGAAATTTGAATACGTATCGAGTGGCTATTGAGCAGCAGGATCATTCACTTGATGGGCTGAGGGATGAGCTGGTATGGGAGGTACACCCATCATCGCCTGCATCTTTATGGGCAGCTAATTGACTTTCTCGGAAGCGGCAATGCACCGTGCAACGTGCACCGTGCACCGTGCCCCTCTCCCTCACGCTTGAGTTACAATGTTTTCAAAATATCCTGACAGGACGCATAAATTGCCAGTGCCCCCTCATCCCCGCTCCTACCATCCACGAAGATATCCATTTGCATATGTCTGTCGCTGCAGTTGAGTCAGTTTCTGTGACTGAATCCCCCGAATACTCGAGCGAGCATACGAATCCTGACCAATTCAATTTCCTATGCGACGCTAGGATTTGAATCTATGCTGCTCTGGGCTACCCCCTACCCCACTCCCTTTGGGGCAATTAAAAATTCCAGTCGCGTCCTGCCAATAAATCAAAGTGTCCTCCATCTTTGGGCTCTCCTCCATCTCTCCATCTCTCCTGCTCCACTGCTCCACTGCTTGCTCTCCTTTCTCAGGATGCTGCTGCTGATGCTGCGGCAACAAAGTTTGCTCTTTTGGCCTCTTCTTTGTCCTTTGTTTTGCCAGCAACGCGAAATTTTCATTTAATGAAAAGCTACGCATCATCAAATGCTCGCACATGACAGAGGCGCACCTCAGGGCGCATGGGAATGGCGCTTCGATGGGGATGTTCTTCTGTCTTCTGTTCCGCTCTATTATGGCTGGGGTCTATTGGCAGCTCAGGCACGTAGAGCCAACGAAGTGCATAATTGGTCATTCATATTTGGAGGCGAGGGGGCGTACACCGAAAAGAAATTCGATTGGGTGGAGAATTTCTTATTTTTCAGTGGGTGGACAGTTCTTAAATTGCCAAAGCAAAGGGGGAAGACTGATTTCTAATAATAATAAGAAGCATTGGATGGAGAATATTTAAATCTTCTCTTTAGTTGAAAATAGTTCTTAAAACTCCACAAATGGATCTTTATCGCAGCAAACCCAAATGATTTGTCATCTCAACAAACTTTATGCCCAAATCCATTCGATAGCCTTTAGCCCATTCCATTCACAGCATTCGAGGCACAGACAATTGAAATAAATTCGAAATATCTTTATCCAAAAGTTAGGGTTTTTCTTTATGGCCTGTAGGCAGTGGGTGGAGGGGCAGGCAGAACGATTAACTGTAAATTTGCAAAGCAGCAGCAAAAACAACAACAGGCCGGAATGTTGGCCTTATCTCTCCGGGCATCGCCAACAAAAACTCACACAAATTTAATGATGAATTTGCAGAGAGCATAAATCGCTTTACCTGCCCAACCACCTCTTGGCTGCTGCTCTCCCCCCACAGCTTTCTCTCTTTCCTCTTTGGCGGCTCGGGGATGGGATGTTGTCGCTGATGTTATCAGGCAGCAGCGTGAACAGGCCGTGAGGAGCCGAGAGCGTTTTTGGCGCACGCCGGCAAACACCAGCAACAGCAGAGGAGACAGCAGAAGCAACGTGATGCAAAAGTTAGCTCGTGGGTGCCGACACTTTTGATACCCTACCAGGTCTGTGGTTCATATGGGATATGCTCATCATTGCAGATGTTGTCTCTCCTCTTGAAGGGTATTCAGCAAAAGCTATTCTCCCCCTCTCTTCCCATCTCGCACTCTCTGCTGAGGGTAAGAGTCGACGGCAACTTGTCTCTAATTTTTCACTAACGATAATATTCAAAATTTTCAACTTTATTGTCGCATAAACTCAATGGAAATGACACAGGCAATGGAAGCAGGCAGAAGGCTCGAAAGAAAAAGCAGAAAATAAATGAAGAAGCAAAGCTAGTCAAAAGTGAGAGACGGGAGAGCTTTGGGTGATGTGGGTGGGCCAAGCCTAAAATAATGCGAAAACTTACTTTCGCGCCATTTCTATGCCTTTTGGCATTTTCTCCACCAAAACACGCACACACACACACACAACAACACACAACTGTAGAGAGCGAGAGAAATGCACACAAAAACATGGCCGTCACCATTTTGTTGCTTTTGTTGCTGTTTCTGGTGGTGCTTTCTATTGTTGTTGGGCTTTATTTATTTATGCTCTTTCTCGGCTTAACGCTCCACGCTTCGCAGCGCCCCAGCGGCACCCTCTGACAACCCAGCCAGCCAGCAATCTACACCCCAACAAAAAAAAGACCCCACTCCCACACAGCTTCCTTGGCTTCTTGGTTGTCCGCTTTCTTTGTATAATAATAGACCTTTTCGGTGGGGTGGTTGGGTTGCGTTGGCTTGGCTTGGCTTCGCTTCGAACTTCACCATCAACTTCTTACCCCAGCTTTGTTTGTTTGTTTTGTGTTCTGTCTGCAGCTTCGGTTTATCCTTTTTGCCGGAAGAGAACGGAACTTGTTGAAAACACTTTCGCTACGAGCGGGAGAGGCAGGACCAGCCAGAAGAGAGCGAAAGTGAGTGAGTGGCTGCTGCTGTCTTGAGTGGTTTTCTTATGAGTGAGCTTTTTTTACGGCTCTGCTCGGCTGTTCATTTCATTTCAGTGAATGAAGCGAAACCTCTCTCTTCTCTTCTCTCTCTCTCTCTCTCTCTGTCTGTGTGTGTTTTGGGGTTGCTCTGGGATTCGATGCCATGCCGTTGGGACCCGGGAAATACCTTCCGAATGGCTTCTTCTTCTTCTTGCTGTTGTTGTTTTGTGGGGTAGAAGGAGCGGCTTGTTGTTTTTGGGATTTCTTCATCTTTAAACTGATTATATTTGTACACTCACATGCACACACACACACAGCCACACACTCGTGGCTATATCAGACATCGATAAAAGTAGCTGCTAGCAGACGCACGCACAAAGATACAAATGTATCTTTTTCGGCTAAAAAGGCTGCTGTGTGCTCTGTGTGTGCGTGTGCGTGCGTGCTGCTGGCTTTTCCCCCCATTTCGTTAGCAGTTCCCGTAACCTTTGAACCATCAAATTATCGACCTCATTGAAATGCTCAAATTATGCCAACTATTCTGCGTGTGTGTCTATGTGTGTGTTGAATGTCAGTTAACGCTTTTAATACCATTAATTATGCAACGGGGGTAAATGGCCAAAGAAATGGCTAACGGAATCACACACACACACACACACACACACACACACACTCCTGGTGTAGCAGCACAGCCCCAAAAAGGGACAAAGACCGGCACCGAAACGAAGACGTAGATGATGACAATGGCTGGAAGGAAGAAAGGCAGAAAGGCAGACAGGGTCGCCCGCCAGGCACTCCATATAGTTAAGATCTGTGAATTTTGAATCCATATGTAGACTGTTCTGTTCTCCTTGCGGTTATTTCAATTATGCACATCATCAGAGATTCAGAGATGGTTAATTCAAATCGCTTAACCCTAAGGAAAATGCTTAAAGGGTTGCCAATACATAAAACATACATAAATCCCATGCAAGTTCTAAGAGAGCTAAAGCAATGCTGAAAGTGATTTAAATATACTTATCCAGAAAGCATGAAACTATAGATTATTCCTCTTCCTCCGTAGTATTTTTGATCACTTTCTGCTACATTTCGACTACAAAATTGAGTTAACTTTGTTGCAATTTGTTGAACCATTTGAAACAATACATACTGTATGTACATACTGTATGTACATATTTATGATTTAATAAACTGCATTTCCCGTGAGGCAAAACCAAATTGTACCTGCCAAAAATGTGCCGTGTGCCAATTGAAAGAGT